CGCAACACCCCAAAGGGATCGTTAACTCTGGGGGGGGGGGGGAGAATATATTGTTCTTTTGAGAAGGAGAACCTACTCGGTGCAACGTGCGTAACGCAACCTGCGCGGTGCAACCGACGCTGTGCAATGCATGTGGTATAATTGATGTTCCAATGACTTGACGCATGCCACGTTATTGCAAATGTCCCACCCAACCGCCCGCAATCTGGTTTTCAAAAACCATGCGGCGGCGATTGCGATGACTGTTTGGCGGTGGATGGTGCATCTCTGCGGCCGCGCTACCCCGCGCGCGCTCGCGCGCGCAGCGGCCGGCTAGTTTGGCGCGACCGACGCGGCAACGATGGCGCTGGCCGCTGGGCACACCTCAGCGGGGCACTTCAGCGCGAGTCGGTGACTTGGGCGGGCGCGGCATCGCCGCGATGCCGACAACGGTAGACGCGATGCTGAGAGTAGCGAAGATGGCAACGATGGCGGCGATGACGACGTCAAGGCCAATGACGGAGCCGATGTTAATCACGCCCGCCGATAACGATGACGGCGCCCTCGCGTCGCCGATGAAGTCTGTTGAAGGAGTTCGACATGTGCGAGCGGCCGACGCGCGCGAGTAGCCCGCGTGGCATTATTTGACACGGATCGCGCCCCCCCCCCCCCCCTCTCCCATCCCCGCCCACCCCCCAGCGCGCGGGCAAAGGCGCTCGAGTGAGTTCGACATGCGCCGCGAGAGGCCCGTTTGGCATACGTTTGCGAACCGTTTGAAACAAACGCATGGTTTTCTGAAGAACCCACAAAACCTCGAGCGCAAGTTTGCTTTGAAAACTGGTGTTGCAAAACCACGTGTTTTCTATATGTGTTCGTGGTAGTAGTTATTTTGACCTTTCAAACCCTTGCGAACCTTCGGTGCTTCAAAGATTCTGGCATGCGCGCGCGACGACGCGCGCGCGTGCACTTCGCCATCTGTTGCGAGTGATTCTCGCGACGGCGCGAGCGCAAGATTGCAAGCGATTGCGACATGCGCGCGCGAGGAGGCACGCTTGGTATAATGTTATGACACCTTTGAGAAAAAAAGCTGGTCTGAAGACCTTGCAAGGGCGAGGGCGCAAAATCCCCGTGCGTTTTGGTGAATATGTTTCGTGATTCTCGATTTAGGAATTCTAACGAGGCCTTGCGGTTTCTCAAGGATTCCGCCATGCGCGCGCGACGAAGCGCGCGCGCCCTTCGTCCAATTCGTTGCGAAAACATTTTGAAAACGGATGATCGATGAGAAAAGACTGCGCGCGCTGGTTCTCCTGCAGAGGATGAGGGGGGGGGAGGGGGGGGGGCGAACTCTGGCCCAGCTGGGATTGCACGGGTTCCAATTTAGGATGGGCAACGGGGCGAGGCCGCACGCAAATTGCAACGCGGAAAAATGTCTCGTTCACCCCGGGGGGCGGGCGGGTAGATCCTAATTCTCTTGCAGACAGGAGAGTCCACGCGGCGCAGCCCATGCATACTATCTACGCGGTGAACCAACGTGGTGAATTCACGCGATGCTACCATGTAATGCAATATAGGAGGTGCAATATACACGGTGTAACCCACGTGATGCAATCTACGCGGCGCAATATACGCGGTGCAATCTACGCGTTTGCAAAATCTCTTAAGACCGTGACGGTGGGTACCACGTGGCACTTGGCAACAACAGCGACGCCGATAACGACAGCGACAACGACGATGACGACGCCGCCGACAACGACTACGACGACACTGACGACGTCTCCAACGACTTCGACGACGCCGACAACGACGACGACGACGACACCGACGACGACGACGACACCGACGCCGACGACGACGACGACGTCGACGACGACGACGACGATGACGACGCCGACGACGACGATAACGACGACACCGACGACGACGACGTCAACGACGCCGACGACGACGACGACGACGGCGGCGACGACGGCGACGCCGACGTCGACGACGACGAAAACGACAACGACGCCGACGCCGACAACGAAGACGACGACGACGTCGCCAACGAAGACAACGAGGAAGGAGGTAGGACGACGACGGCGACAACAACGACAACGACAAGGGAGGAGGGAGGACGGCGACGACGCGAACGACGAAAAAGGAGGAAGGACGGCGACGCCGACGACGGCAACGACGAGGGAGGAGGGAAGACGACGACGACGACGACGACGACGACGGCGACGAAATAGGAGGGACGACGACGAGACGCCGACGACGGACGACGACGACGACGAGGGAGGAGGAGGAAGGAGGACCACGGCGACAACGACGACGGAAACGACCACGACGCCAAAAAGGACGACGACGACGAACACGAGGAAAGACAGAGGACGACTTAGGCGACGACGACGACGTCGACGACAACGAAGACGACAACGACGCCGACGCCGACGCCGACGACGAAGACCGCGACGACGACGTCGCCAACGAAGACAACGAGGAAGGAGGTAGGACGACGACGGCGACGCCGACGACAACGACAAGGGAGGAGGGGGGACGGCGACGACGCGCACGACGAAGAAGGAAGGACGGCGACGCCGACGACGGCAACGACGAGGGAGGAGGGAAGACGACGACGACGACGACAACGACGACGACGACGACGACGACGGCGACGAAATAGGAGGGACGACGACGAGACGCCGACGACGGACGACGACGACGACGAGGGAGGAGGAGGAAGGAGGACCACGGCGACAACGACGACGGAAACGACCACGACGCCAAAGAGGACGACGACGACGAACACGAGGACAGAAAGAGGACGACGTAGGCGACGACGACGACGACGACGACAACGACGCGGGAGGAGGGGGGACGGCGACGACGACGACGACGACGCAAGAGCGCGCGCGCACGCTTTTGTTGAAAATCCGTGTTGCGAAACCTAATGTTTCTGTAAGTTTTTTTGGACACACGATTTTGAAGTCCTTCCGAAACCGATGGGTTTTGAATGATAAGAAGCTGTTAAGCAGACCCACCGAGCCCACTGGTGGAAATCAGATGTCGAAAAAAACAACATGGCGGTGCGCTGGCGCAGTTTTACAAAACCTGGAAAACGCAAGCGCAGTGCATGGAGGTTTTTGATGCATTGCGCTTGCCCAACGCAGATGTCCAACAAGTTTGGGTTCGCTTTGCACAGCGCGCGCGCTGCTGCACGCAGAATTGCGCGCGCGCGCCAATGTTCGGCGCATCATGCGCCTCGCGATGCGTTCGCGCATATACCGCAAGCCAACAAACCGCGTTATTCGGAACGTCGGGCGCCAAATGAGACCACGAGGCTTTCGCGGAAACACGCGCGCGTGTTTTCAACAAGGAGCGGGGTTCTCCAACAAACTTCAACGTTTTCGACATATGAGCGCAGCGCGCTGCATGGCGCTGCATTGTTGCGCGGGCGCGCGGCGGCGCGCCAGGTCGCACAATTGCTGCTTGCGTTAATGCCGTTATGGCGCGCTGTACAATGATCTTGTCGCGGCGGCCCCGCGCCGAGTTAGCGCCGCGCTGGCGCCAGAGCTGGCGTTGGACCAGGGGGCCCCGCGTGGCTGGCGGAAACGCCGAAAGGCGTGACTAAGGTCCTTGCTCCTCCCGCCCACTCCTCCCTCCTTCCTCCTCCTCCGTTTTCCTCCTCCCTCCAGCCCCCTCCCCATAGTTTCCGTTCCGCTCTCGCGTTGCCCTCGGTTTCGCTTGCGTCACCCTCGCCCCTCCCACCCGTTGATTTCGCGTCCTCCTCTGCCGCGCTCCCGCCACTTGCCATCGGCCCTCGTTTTCATCATGATTTCTGTGCCGCCCCTCCTCCTCTCTCTCGTCTTCGCTTTTCTTTTTGATTTTGCCACCGCCGATGCTCGTGCTACCGATGCTGCCGCTCTCGCTCGTGGCCCTGCTCCTCCGTTGTCGTCGTCGCCCTCCTTGCCCCTCCGTCGCCGCCGCCCCCGCCCTCGCCGTGGGCCGACTCGGCTTCGTCGCCGGGCGCCGGGGCCAACGGGGCGATGGAGGGCCCGCGGGGCGGCGCAATGGAGGACCCGCAGGGCGAGTAGGGCGAGGGAGGACAGAGGGAGGGATGGGCGACGAGGGGCGGGCGGAGTCAGGCAGAGTGTAGGATAAGCAAGAGGGCGGAGGAGGGATGAGGAGCAGGGCGACGAAAAGGAACGCGAGGATGGCGATGAGGCGGGGAGGGTGACCAAGAGGGCGAAGGGGAGCTCGAGGACGAGGAAAGCAATGTTGGAGGAGGCGGGGAGGAAACTTAAGATGGCCAGAACGCGAGGCGGAATGCATCGGGGCATTTTTGCGAAGCCTCGTGCCAACCCTTCTGGCGCGCAGATCCAGCGGACTGCGGGGCGCTGCCGATCCCTGGCGTCCAATCGCAGGCGTGCAATGAGGGGCGAAGGCAGGATGAGTCGTTGGAGGGGGAGCTCAGGAGGGGGGGGGGGACAGGGGATCAGCAGGGGGAGGAAGATAAGGAGGAGGAGGAGAAGGAGGAGGAGGATGAGGAATGCGAGCAGGAGGAGGAGGAGTGGTAGCGCCTTCTGGCGAAGTGAGTGACCGTCTTGGGCTTTCCTCCTCCTCAACCTCCTCCCCCTGATTGTCCTCCTCCTCCTCCTCCTCCTGTTCCCCGTCCTCCTCCTCCTCCTCATATTCCTCCTCCTCCTCCTCCTCCCTCATCGTCGCACTCGCCCTCGCTCCGACCATGGCCAGCGCTCGCTCGACCTCAAGTGGTTTCACGGCCCCCCGAAGTTTTAGCAGTGACCAGGAAGCCCCCCAACATGGGCAGAGGATGGCAGCCCTGAGAGACAACATAAAAGCTAAAGTGGCTGCGAACTTGATTTCGATGGCATAACACTTTCAATGCCCAGCGTTTGGCGCGTTCGCCTTCCGACCTCTTCCGAGGCGCTGTCTTACCTTATGCTCCTCCTCCTCCTCCTCCTCCTCCTCCTCCTCCCCCTCCTCCTCCTACTGCAAGCCCAAGCCCTCGCTGGGAGGGCAACCGCTTGAAGAACGCGGTCAACTTCTGCTGCCCTGGAGCCTCTGCTGCGCCCTCCGAGCGCTCGCCCACCCTCCGCAGCTTGGGGGGGCTCTGGAACACGGCGACGGGGGGCAACCTCTTGGCCCAGTCCGCGACCTGGACGTTGCCGACAGTCTGCTCATTGTCGAGCGCCTGCTGATCATCCACGAGCGGGGGCAACCGCAGGAACCAAGGAACCACGCGGAAGGTCTCGGTCGCGTCCTCGAACAATTTCAAAAGGCGATGAATCGGAACCATGACGCGGCCAATCGTGGGAACAGGCATAGTATTTCCGAGCGCAATCACAATCGTCGAAGCCCTGATCACACCAACGAGCGAATCTGGAACGAACCCCATCGCTTGGCAGCGCTCCGCCAAAGTCATGAAGCGGCCCTCGCCCCACACCTTGTTCGGCGAGGCTCCGAGGAGCCAGAGGTAGTGCGACTTCGTGGTCATGCAGGGCAGGGCGTCCACGTGCAAGTAGGACCCGAAACGCTTCGACGGTTTCCTGGTCAGATCGCAAGAGCCAATCGTGCCAGCCGGGGGCTTCTTGGCGCTGAACATCTGATTGTACACCTGGGGAGCGGGCCAAACGCGACCAGAAGAATCCAACATGTGGGAGATGATGGGTGGCCAAAGGGGGGGAAAAGTAAAGGGCCAGGAGGAGGGGGAAGAAGGGGAAGGAGGAGGAGGGGAGGGGAACGGTGGAGGAACAGATGGGGGTGCTGGACCACCCCGTCGTCCTCCCCCTGGCCCTCCTGAACCTCCTCCTCCTCGTCCTCCCCCTGCTCCTCCTCCTCCTCCTGTCCCTCCTTCTCCTAGCTCTACTCCTCTACTCCTCCTGTGCCGCCGCCTATTCCTCCTCTTGATCCTGCTCCTCTCGGGCCCACCCCCATCCTCCCCCTCCTCCTCCTCCTCCTCCTCCTCCTCCTCCTCCTCCTCACCCTCCTCCTCGACCACATTTCCGACTCCGCTGTCAATCATTTAAGGGCGTTGGTTGGGGGAGGCAGGGGGCCTCCACGTTGCTCGCCAGGCCGGGCGCGTCGGGCGTCTCATCCATGCGGTCGGCGTCGTTCAAGAACTGGGAGAGGGGCACGGGGTCCATCTTGCGGCAGGGCTCGAGAGGCTCGCGGAAGCTAATGTGCCGGCGAATCGGGCGGAACAGGATGGAGCGAAAGCCCGAGATGTAGATCCGAGCCCTCTTCGACGGGAGCCCGTCGCCCGTCGAGCAGACCTCCTGCCGCGCGACGTAGAACTCCTGGGGGGGGGGTCTCGTCGTCGTGGTCATCGCTTTCATGACCGATCAGCGCCTGCTCTATCGGCCACGTCGGGGGGATGTATTCCAACTGCGTGCTTGCACTGTTGGCCCTATCGAACGCGTTACCACTGCCCCCAATCAGTGCTTGCACCATTCGCACAGGGGGGCCAAGTCAGCGCTGACACTACGGACGACGACGACGACCACCGCGACGACTAACGATAACTACGGCGACGAGGACAGCAACGACGACGACGACCATGGACGCCGACGACGACGACGACGACAACTACGGACGACGACGACGACGACGCGAGCGCCGATGGGCGACGACGGCGTCCGTCGTCGTCCGTCATCGTCGTCGTCGCGAAGTCGTCGTCAAGTAGTTGTTGTCGTCCGTCGTCGTGGTCGTCGTCGTCGTCCGTCGTCCTCGACGTCCGTCGTCGTAGCCAGTCGTCTTCGTCCGCCGTTCGTCGTCGTCGCCCGTCGCGCGGAGCTCGCGTGGGGCCCAACGACGTCTGAAACGTTATGTACACATCAGCGACAGTCAACAGGCTCAGGCTGCTACCCGCTGATCCTCCTCACCCTCTTCCAACTCCAATCCCCTCACCAGCGTTAACTCGCTCGGCATGCCGAGCTGCCCCATCCTCCTGCTCCTCATCTCTATGGCGCCTTACCATTCCGCCCCCCCCCCCCCCCATTCGGATCCGACATGTGCTGCTTAAACCAAAGGAGGATCGTCTCGAAGAGACTCGCAGGCTGCTTCTTGCACTTCATTGCTATGCCTTTCGCGTTCTCTAACACGAACCATTTCAACTGCTTGCTCCCCTGCCACTTCAGGAGCTCCAGCATCTCCAAGCACACCGACGGTGGGGAGCAGCACGCGGCGATGAAGGCCGGCAGGGGCAGGAGGGCGCCCATGGGAGGAGAGCTGGATGACAGAACCGAGGGAGGGTAAGCTGACCACGACACGCAGCAGGAGGAAGTGGCTGGGGCGTGGAGGACGCGCGGGGGCAGGGGATGGGGAGGAGAGCGGAGAAGGGTGGGCAGTGGGATAAGCTAGGATGGAGAGGGCCAGGGACGGGGCGGAGGGGGGGGGTGGGCAAGACGAGGATTGAGAACAGGACGCACAGCAGCATCAGCAAGAGTTCGAATCAAGCCGATCGCACCAGAGCCCTGTCGTCGTCGAAGCACCCCCGGGAGCCAACGAACGACCAGGGCGGGCATGGCCACCCGCAAACGAAGCCGTCGGTCTTGTGGAAGACCCCACCCTCGATCTCGTTCAGCGCGTTGACGCGCGGGCGCAAGATGTCCCCCGCCGCCTGCGGGCGCGCGGCTGGAGGGGGGATGGCCGAGCAACGACTGCGGCTGCGGCGACGACGACTGCGGCTGCGGCGACGGCAGACGACGACAGACGACGACCGACGACCGACGACCGACGACGGACGACTGACGACGACGACAACGACGACGACAGACGACAGACGACAGCGGCGACGACGACGACGATAGACGATAACGACAACGAATGACGACGACGACGAGGACGACGACGACGAAAAACGACGACGACGCGACGTCGCGACGACGGACGACTGACGACGACGACAACGACGACGACAGACGACAGACGACAGCGGCGACGACGACGACGACGGACAATAACGACAACGATGGCGACAACGACGAGGACGACGACGACGAAAAACGACGACGACGCGACGTCGTCCGACCCATGCGGTGCGCCTGGGAGGGTGAGCTCATACGGAGCGAGGCGAAGTCTGGACGTCTGAGCTGTATCTTTTTCCCTATCACATCGTGCGTTGGCGGTGGCTGTGCATGCTGCCTCGAACCGTTGCCCAGCGAGCGCCCCTCGGGGGCATCGTCCATCGAGGGGGCCCGCAAATCCCTTGGCTGGAGGCGTGCTGGCGCCGCGCCGCATGCACACCTTGGCAAAGTATTATGCAGGGCCCCTTGGGAGACGTGAAAACATAGCTGCTCACGCTGTAGCTCATTGCCCCGAGTTGTCATTTATCCTTCCCTGTTCCCCCCCCGCCACTGAGCAGTAAATCGAAAGGCCCATCGCCGATCTCCCCACGGCGACAGGCAGAGCGCTGGGGCAACGCATTGCGCTGCCTCCCAGGGTGCTAGAGGCCAGGAAAGTCAGAGCCAGCGGTGGAGCAGGGAAGCAGACTTAGGGACGTGGAGGAGACATAAGAGGTGCACGACACAGAGTACACTCGCTGGAGATACGAGGAGGACGCGGAGGCAATGATAAAGGATATTGGGATATCGTGATGAGGATGGCTGGGGGTCTTGAAGGCAAGGAGGGAGAGGCGACGTGGCAGGAAGATGAGCAAGTTGAGGATGACCAAGCAGGGGTGAGAGGTGGAGGGTGGAAGGGCCGCAGCAGGAATAAGGAGGGCATCAGCAGCGGCAGCATCATCAGCAGTGGCAGCTCTGGAGGGGAAGAGGGTGAGAGTCGAGAGTGCTTGGAGCAAGGACCTGCAAGCGCGGCATGCAAGCGCAGCCCTTGGAGCGCCTACGCCGCCATGCCGCTCTGCGCGTTGAGCGACAACCACTTCCACCACTCCTCGTAGAGGGTCCCACGGATGCCCTGGTAGGCCTCCATCGCGGCGGAGACGGTCTTCTCCACGACGACGAGCTCCTCAGGCCAGGGGGGCGACGTGCCCCGCCTGATCCCCTTGGTCAAGGATGTCCGAAACTGCGCGTACACGTGCCCAGTCGGCAACACGGCGACGTCGCCACTCGAGAGGGCGAAGCAAAAGTTACCGTCCTGCCTTCCCAGGGTCAGCATGTCATGGCCAGACAAGCCTTTCAGGTACTCCACCTGGTTGGAGAGCCCGCGATTCTCGGTGTCGATCTTGACTCCCAGGATCACCTCCCCCCCTCCAAGATCATGCGGGCCTCGGCCAAGCCATGCGGGAGGGGCGCCACCGCAGAGTGCAAGCGCGGCAGGATGAAGCACTGGGCCCCATAGAGCGTCTTGTGGAGCGCCTGCTCCTTGGGCCCCGAGGCGATGAAGGCGGAGCGGAACAGGTACCCCACATCCTTCTTCTCGAGCTTGCTGAGCTGGCGGATCTGAGCCAACACCGCCGGCTGGACCACGTTGCCGTAAGCAGGCGAAGCGCCCGCCGAGCCCCAGCTCTCAATCTTGGTGCGCATCCACGCCTCACAGGCCTTCCAGCCCGATGCCACCGCCACGCCCTTGCACAGCGAGGGGGTGCTGACCACGACCGCCGTGCCGAAGGCCAGCTCGGAGAGGTCGCGAAGAACGCCGACTGGAGAGCCCCGCGCCTCAGCCGCGAGGACCTGCGTCGCGGGGCCGAGGTTGCTCGAAAGGTCCACCTCCATCTGCGGCGCATCGCTCTCTGCCTTGCGCTTCTTGCCCGCGGCGGATGCATCGGCCGCCTTTCTAGAGAAGTGCGCCTTCGCGTCCTGGATCACCCTCTTGGTTGCGACGGTGTGGCTGTGGACCTCCTTCTGCGAGTCGAAGAGAACCTTCAAGCTGCCGCGAAGGGCCTTGACGTCACCATCCCAAGAAACGCTCCTGACGCTAGCCTGCAGCTCAGCATGCCGGCCAGAGATCCGCGCCACCTCTTCGTCGCACTTAGTCCGCACCAGGACGAGCTTCGGGTAGACCGCAGACCAGGTCTCGCTCTCCAAGTCTTCCTTGGAAACCCTGCACTCGATGAACTCCTTGACCGAGAGGGCCTCGGAAGCCTCGGGGGATGCGTGCATTTGAATGCAAACGGAGACGAGGCGAGTGGAAATAACATATGGAGGCAGTAGAGGGAAAGGGGAGAGGGGATAGAGGACAGGAAGAAGTTTGGAAAATGAGAAAGGGGAGAGGGAGAGGGGGGTGATGAGAGGGGTGATGGAGGCAAGGGTGCAAGGGAGGAATGGAGTTATGAAATGACGAGGTGCAAGAGAAGGGAAAAGCGATGCAAGGGAGCAAGCGAGGGATACAGAGGACAAGAGGACAGCGAGGAGGGCCCCCGGGGAGGGGTCCGGGAGAAGGTCGCTTTGCAGCGAGTGCGGTGAGTTCAGAGTGCGGGGCGCGAGGGGGCGGAGGAGGAGGAGGAGGCGGAGGAGGGGGGGGGGGGGATGAAGAGGAGGAGGCGGAGGAGGAGGCGGAGGAGGAGGGTGGGAGTCCTCCTCCTCCTACTCCTCCCGCCCCCCTCCCTGGCACTCCAGCGCAGCCCTTCATGGGGCCGTTTCATTGCTGCCCACCTGGCACTCCACCGCAGCCTTCATCTTGGACAGCTGCGACTCGATCGCCTTCTCCGCCCCGAAG